CATGTGCTGATACTAGATGACTTTATTATTTAAAATAATATATAATAATGCAAATTATTGTTACATGTGTTTACACTTACAATAGTGTATTCCTTTTGTAAATCTCATTTATAGTATTGAAAAAAAAAAAATTAGAAAGGAGAAAATTTAATAGAAGGGAATGAATATGCTTCTCCGTTCTTTTTTTTTCATTTCAGAGTATTTCAGTGAGAAAATATTTATTATATTTAACTAACACTACATAGAAAATAATTAGAATATTCTATGGGAAATGATATTACTTTCAAGAATACTTATAAATACGTATTCCAAAAAATAAGAGTAAAATATTAGTTGAATGATGTTAAATAGCCTTCTTTAAAAGTAATTTATTATATTTTTTAATTCAAGAAATATTTAAATTACATTAATGAAGTGGTTAAGGGGATTTTATACTAATGGGACTTTAATTAGCCCATGAGAAAAAAGACTTCCATGTTTATTTTTACAGTGAATACTCTGCTTGTCCAATCCAAAATGACAAAGTTTCTTCTTTTTCTCCTTGAAAATATGTGAAGGAGATTGAATCTTAGCCAACTGGGAGAAGTACCTGGATCTTCCGATGTCAATGGAACAGATATGAACGTGGACAGGGTCCTTTTCTCTCTCTTATATGAATGTATGAAGAAATTAAAGTCAGATAAATCTTATGTAATTTGTTTAGTTTTAGTACAGTTATGTGTTTACCATATACATGCCTCAACGATAAAGAAAAACATATATCTAGTAATCCTTGGAATGCTTGGCCAATGTCTCCATCCTGCTAGCAAACTATATAAGTTGACTTGGTTGCCTTTAATATGATTATTATAAATCTTAGTAATTTGTTAGTTTTATGCTTATTATAGGTGATTGAGTTGCGTGATATACTAGGAAATCTCTCCAACAAGAGAACAAATGCCTATGTTGGACCACTCCAAATCAAGAGAACACCTCAAGTGCTAAAAAAAGAAAGCTGAAATCAAAGGTTTGGGACCACTTCACAAAGTATAAAAAAGTGATGGCGAGGAACGGGCTGAATGTAAACACTGTAAGAAAGACTTGTAGGTTCAAGTAAGAGTGGAACCACACATCTCAACAATCATTAAAAAGTCGCGAGGTTGAGAAATCCAGTTGGATGTGTAAATAGAGAAAAAGAGAAAAGTCTGATAGATCCAGAATCGAATGGTCTGATGGTGCTAAAAATTATAAGTATGGCCTAAACAGCATAAAGGTGATATACTTAATGTTTACGACCAAGAGAGGATAAGCTTCTAGGGTTCTCCATAAACTCTCGGTTTAATGTAACAATTCAGAAGATTGATTACTTATGGTTCCTAATAATGGTTTATCGATGGAGTTGGGAATTGGAAATAGTGTATTTTTTGTTGGAAGGACGGGAAGATGTTCTCGAAATGTATCTTGAAGAAATTGTTGAGGAAGATCAAAACTTTCTAATGAAGGTGGAAGCTTGCGCTTGAGATTGGAACATAGACAAAAGTATGCTCTATGGTAGGAGATTCAGTATTTATTGCTGAATGTGGGAAAGTTATCGAGGATATAACAGCTGGTTGAATGAACGAGGTTCATTTCCTGTCATTCGGAATTTTTTGTTAATTATTTTGTCGCTATCTGGAACAGGTCAGGAGGTTGGGGAAAGTTATATGTCAGTTAAAGCATTTAGATTTGGGATTACTGCAGGACGTCATCAAATGTGAAATAAGTTTCAAGATGCGGCAGAAAAAGCTTTGTCCAAGGGCCAAAACAGTAACTTCCTTAAGCGTTCTCTTCATATGGTGGTTCGGCCGGAATATGCTTGAGTGGGTACTGGGATGTAAGAAGCATTTAGTGAACTGAACGATATAGATTCTGATTTCAAGTCTATAAAAATTTATAGAAAAGGAGTGGAACGAGGCAACTTTGATATACACATCGGTTGGAAAGTGTCAACTGATTGAGAGGAGATTTTTGTAACTTGTATGATTCTACAATTAAAACCGCAAATGTGTATTTCCCAATTTTAGTGACATTAGTTGAAATTGGTTCAGTGGGAGAAAGTGATGATCATAACATTTTCAGCTTTGCATCAAGGGCGGCGAGAAGAATTGGAGGAATATTGGAACAATTCTATATTGATTTTAGTGATCACAGTAATTTTGGATCCGCGATTCAAAATGGATATTGTGAAACAGTTTTACGAAAAGATTTATGGTAACGATGCAAATGAATACCTTAAAAAAATCATTGATGATGTCACAAATATTTACAATAAATATGAGGAGCACTGATAATAATATTGTTACATCAGAATCAGAACTGGACCGCTATTTGAAAGATTCCAAATGTTCTCAGGTGAAGCATTTAATATAATAGATTGGTGGCGTGTCGAATCCCGAACCTATCCAACACTGGCTAAGATTGCACGTGATGTCTTACCCATACCAGTCGTTTTCCTGTGTTTTCTTCATTGGCACGTGGAGCCCACAGCGCTCTTGATTATTATGATATTGACTGGCTCCAAGTAGCTTGTGATGTACAAAAGTTTGGTTGAATTTCCCTGTAATAAAATAATCAAGTTGTTGAAATAATATATGTTCTCTTTTTTTTTTTTTTTTTCCATTTACTTTATTTTGTTGTTTAAAATTAAAACATTATTATTTTTATACGGTCAAATTAGCGGTCCATAGTTTATACCTTTATATAAAATTAAATGAAAAATATTAAACTTCTCAAATTTTCATCTTTTAACTAATGTCTTTTTATATCTTTAATCTTATAATTGAAATTTTCATCCTAAGTCTATATTCTAACATTATCATTTTATCTCATATGGTGGTATGCAAAGGAGAAAAAACTATAAAGATGTATCAATTGAAAACATTATCTAAAAATTAACACTATTAAGAGAAAAATATGCCTACAGAAGAAAGAAAATAGAGTATTGTATGAATTTAATCCCATTAATTTATAATTAGTCTGTTATAAAATATTTTCACATTAATGTCAAATTATTCTGCTAATGGAATTTCTCTCATTTTTTTCTTTTTGTCTAATTCACTTACAAAGTACAGTACTTCAAATCACAAAAGAGATGGAGCCACTGCAAGAGCAATTGGTAGAGTAAGGAATTCAATTGAGAAAAGGCAATATCAAACAAGGTGTATTAAAATTTTAACTCCTAGATGTATATAATATACATTTAAAATAATATGTCAACACTCTTTTATTTTATTTATTTTTAAAATGTCAATTCACAATGAAATTAAAATTGTAAGCCCAAAATAAAGCTAGGAACTAAAAGGTAATTAAGAGTCAAACTCTTTACAAACTCTTAGGTCGCAGTTCCATTTTTTGTTTGAATTTGAAAAATTAAAAGTAAAAAACAAGGAGCTATCACCTAAGAGTTGTGAAAGACAAATTGGAAATTTGATTATAGTGTAATATAGTCCTAAATTATAAGTGGTTAGATAGTAGTATAAAAAACTAAAGTAAAAAAATCAATTTGTTATATCATGATCTATAAGAAACTATACTCTTTTTTTTAGTTAATATATTTGAAAACACTTTTACAAATTATGATAATGTCGTGTTTTACATGTTTAATTTTTGAATTTAGGTGGTACATATTTTTAATGCATGCATGATCCACAATGAGTTTATGGTTTACTTAATTTTCATGGAGTACATGTTTAAATGCAAATGTACCTTAATCACACAGAGTTTTCCTCATAACATCACTATACATTAATATGATGTCTTATGATTCGTTGATTGTATACGTAATTAAATAATATCATCTGTGTTTTTGTAATTAGTTGTTATATAATTAAACTTTTCTCTCAATTTTTTTTTATTAAACTAAAAATACACATCCTTTTCAAAATATCATCAAAATCCAAAAAGATTTACGATTAAAAAATAAATTCTTTTTTTTTTTTTTTTTGGAATATTGATAAAAATGAATTTAAATCTGTATTTTTGGTTATTTTTAGGGAAATTAATGGTGGTTTTATAATAACAAAATTTATCCATTATTTTGGTCAGTGACGGATCTATGATTTTTTTTTTCGGGGGGGGGGGGGGGGGGGGGGGGGGGGGGGGGCTCCAAGACCTGACATTGTTGTTAATAACTAGTGAAACTTTAAAAAATACCAAACCTTAACAAAGGAAATAATACAATATCCCAAAATTGAAAGAAATAATACAATAACATATTACTTTCATACTTGAATAAATCTGAGAAGCAAGATTTTGAGTAAACCTTAAGCACATCCCTTTTTTATTTATTTTATTTTTTTTGTTCGAAAGATTATAATATAAATTTTTATAACTTTAAATCAGACTTTGTTACCGGATGTGAAAATCCCAGCAACGTTACTGGAATCATGGCTTTTGCTGACGCATGACATCTCGTTTGTATCTAGTGATATTAGTAATATTCAATGTGTATTGGTACTCAACAATGGGTTACTTTGGTTGATGGGAGTAAAAGTCCTGGTAACGTTAATGGAATAATGACTTTAACTGGTTTGTGACATTGTAATTGTATCCTATAATGTGATATTAGTAGTATTCAATGTGTATTGGTCGCTCAACAATGTGTCACTTTGTTATATTGAGTAAAAATATCCTGGTAATGTTACTGGAGTAGTGGTTTTTAGTGACATGTGACATTGCATTGGTATCTTATTGCTAGCTATTAGTGATATTCAATGTGTTATCAGCTTACATTAATGTTACTGTGTCATTTTGTTAACAATAACAGTAACTGTCGCTATGCTACTATTGTGACATTGTACATTCTGAAAAATTTTGTTGTTGTGTTGGCGTGGTTTGAAACTGACGGGATTTGTTAGATCTTAAGGGCCTTATCTATCAGGTTAAGCTTTTAGGGCAAGTGTTAGTTTATAGGATTTATTAGTACTTTTCCCTAAGTCGTGAAGTAACAGTTTACTGACTGCTCTCTCAACCTCTCTCCACAGGCAACTTACCAGACATGGCGGGAGTCTTTTAATATGTATCCCTGGCCTCTTGTTAAACGGGTTAAAAGATGTTGGGATAGACTTAAAAACTGGTTGACCATTAACCTTCCAGAGGCAAAGGCTACACTTCGAAGGGGTGCATCAGAAGCAGATATCCAAGAGTTAGAGAAAATTTTGAAAGTGAAATTGCCTGTCCCCACAAGGATTCTGTATCGCTTTTGTGATGGTCAAGAATGCTCAGCTAACGATTTTGATAGTCGAGTTAGTTTGGGTCTTATTGGTGGCTACTGTTTTTATGAACATATGGTTAATGTGTACCTTTTGCCTTTAAGTCAAATAATCCTGGAGACACAGGAGATTACAGGTGACATATCTTTTGACAGCAGATCTAAGTATATCCTTGTGGCTGCTTCTTTGACGTCTAGTATTAAGTTGTTCTTCCTCAACTGTACCAGTGGCCAACTCTATGTTGGTACTAGGAATCTTCTCCCAGATGGAGAAATGCTTCCATGCGTTCCAAATGATCTGATAAATTTGCAGAATGCTAGCAGTGATCAGCAGCAGGACGCAATGTTACTATGGTTAGAAGAGCATGCCCGGCGCTTAGAAAATGGGATTATCAAAATTCGTGAAGAAGAAGGTATCCGAAGTATTAACCTATTTCCTGAGGAACCTCCCCTCTGTTCCACTGCTATAACCAATGGTGTGAAGGTATGTACTGCATTGCCTTTCATATGTAGCTCTTTTGCCCTTCTGATTTTATTGTACTGTATATTAATATGTGTACCATGACATGGTTATCATAGATAATTCCAAGTGAAATCCAAGAACCTTACTAAATTGAAACCTTTTCTTTCTTAAAGTTAGCAGAATGTTTTTTATCCTGTGTAATGTCTAGTCACGGTGCTGCTTCTTGTAATGTATCTACTCATATGGAAAAGTTTTGTCTAGTTTGCAAATTTTTTTAAGAAATGCACTCTTATTGCTTCTAGACTGCTATGTTGTTGCTGCTTTCTGCAGCATGCACTGCAATTATGTACATACAGTTCACTATGAGTCTGATGTGCATATACAACCAAATTGATGAATGATGTGCATTCTGTTGAACTTTTGAAAACACTCTGTTATAAGATCATTTTATTTTACAATTGGTGTAGAATTATTTTAAGTTATTTCATAAATTAATTTTCCTAATCAGAACCATAAATTTTAGTCAAACAAGCAAATCGTAGCTTTGTTTTTACAGGGTTACACCTCTTCAAGTTTCAAAACTATTGGTGCTTTTTTAATAAGTAAATATTACCTATTTCACATCTGGCATAATTGAGGAGTTTTGGATGAATTGCATTTGTTGTGTTCATTTGAGCCTAGGATTTCAGTGTTTATCATCCTAGCAATATAAGCTAGGACAATGTAGGATATTTGCACGCTCTAGCAGCTTCTGTGTATTAAATCTTATGGCATATAGAAGGTATTTATTTATTGAAAATTCTATAGGTGATATAAAGATAAAATTTTCAAAGTCATCTTGTTGTTATAAACCTTGTAAAAATTATTATCTACTACAGGTTCGTGCCTCTTCTGTGCTTATTCCGGAGGCGGCTGACCTTCGAGGTCATTCTGAGAAGTACTTGTTTGCTTATTCAATCCGCATGTCCCTCATGCCTGAAGGATGCATCATTGGTGGTATGAATTTCAGCTCCTGCCAGCTGCACCAGAGGCACTGGGTTATTCGTGCTAATGACGTTGTAGTATCGGACATTAGTGGAGAGGCTGTGATCGGAATGGTATGACTCAATTCACTTGTTATTTTTTCCCTGTGCATGTTCAGTGGAAGTTGTGTGTCACTTGTATTTCTTCTTTCAAAAAAATTTAAGTGGACTCAATTATTACATTAATATTTTCTGGTGCTTTATTAAATTATACAGCCACCCTTATTTTCAAGCATTATTGACAATAAATGAGTGCTTTGTTGTTATCATTTTCAACATGTTCTTGCTGCATAGGAAGGTGTTTTTCAACATCAATAGGAAATTTTTCTGGTGATCAAGTCATGTTAGAATTTTTTTCTTACTGTGGAGAATTTGGGCTTTTTCAAATCTGTGAAACAGTTCTGCCTTTGATGAATGTCTTTTTAGGTTGGATTGTCATATAAATATTACACAAATGTGTTGTGGCAACTCTCCCCCAAGTCAGACATCCTATCATAGTATTTAACATATTCTATTAGGATATAGTAACACGCTTGACAAACTAGCAGATATTAACTGACAAACTTACAATGGATCTAATTCCTATGTCACTTGGAGTTGTTTATAGGAGAGAAAAAAGAAAAAGAAAATGATCAAACACTCTCTGATTTTCCTGGCTGGTTTTTCAGATCTCCAGCTTCTTGATTGTAAATATGTAACCCGACATTGACTATAATGAAGATTTTCTTCTGTTAGAAGCCTTGGCCATCTCATTCTTCTCTTATATGTTTGCAGTTTCCACTCCTGCGTCCAGGGGAGAAAGAATTTGTTTACGAGAGCTGCACACCTCTACCAACTTCATCAGGTTCCGTCAAAGGTTCATTTACATTTGTTCCTGGCAGGTAATTCATATGAATCCTTTACATGTTGAAGCAGCATTCTTCAATTGAACCTTTACTATTGGCCCGACTTATAAAAAAGGGCCCCATTGATATGTACCAACTGCTACCTTTCAGTCCTTGTTCAGAAGCAATTAAAAAGAACTCATATTTGTATTCAGAAAAAGTATCTCTGAAGAGAATTCTGTTCAGGAAATGAATAGTCCATGATATGTTAATCAATAAACTTTTTCAGGCTTGTCCATTACTCAGTCAAAGCAAGCCTGAGTTAATCGCTTGCATTTATTGGCCTAGCGAAGAAGAGAATGTGTAACCTCCTTGGCTTCTACTGTTAAAATGGTTGAGCTGGGGAAGCAACATGTTGAAGTTTTCATATTGTTAAGACCAATCCTTCAACGTCGGACACCATATCATATTAATATTGCCATTTTCATTTTCGTCATTAATCTATATATTTTTCCTGTGCTTCCATTTTGTACCGTTTGTGTCTGTAAATGTTTTAGTATCCTCTAATGCTATTCCCTAATGTGTCAATATACTGTTCTTCCAGATTGGCAGACCCAAAAGGTCGTCCATTTGAAGCCGAGGTGGCAGAGTTCTCCCTCCGCTGCCCAGATTACATCTTCTGAGAACCATGTACATGGTTTTATATATACATATGCTAATAAATAAGCAAATACAATTTTTGCATTTGTGTATTTGACTTGCTTAGCCTGGTGGCAATCGGAAGGTAGCTCAGTACACAGAAACCTCGTGTGTAGCCTGTTTACATGTAAACCCTCATTTGGGTTACCATGCCTTGATTTCAGCTTGACTGGACTTTCGGAAACTGACTTCTGCCCTCACATTCAATGGAATGAAGGTCCAGGACAAATCGTTTACATGGCGTGTATGCAGCCCCCAGCCTTCGCTATTGATTGTGCAAATGTGGCTGGGCTAGAAATCACTGCCTGAGGAGTGCCTGCTCAGGAACCATGTTGGTCTTTTCTACCTACTTTTCAGAATTGCCAGATTGAGTGTTGTGAAGTATTAGTAATGTGTTATTGCATATTTTTGAGTTAAAAGCTCGTTGTGTTCATGAAGTGATTTGTTTAATGTAATTTTAGAATCACTTTTAGTGCTTTTTGTTTGTGGAAGTGTTTTGGTGGGTTAAGGGCAAGTGCATATTGGCTTGAGATTAGGAATAAGGAGTTGGAATACCCATTAAAAAATTAATAATGGGGTTTAAAAATTTTGATTTCTATAAAAATGGGTATTATTAATTTATTACAGCCCAGCAAGAAATCCCACATATTGATATCAAAGGCCAATAGACAAATAGCAAATTGCCTAGAAACTGAGTCCAAAGATTCCATATATTAAGGAGGTATTTTCTGCTCTGAAACCCTTTATAGTTTTATGTTTCTTGAAAGTGTGATTTCAGATTGGAAATATTCCAATGGAGGAATTTTAAATCAACTAATATTACCTTTCTTCATAAAATTCGGATTTAATCCAATAGAATTCACTCCATTATGAATGGGACCACTAGATAGCTTTCTGAAATTTCTAAAAACTTTTATATCTTTATTTTATTTTTCATTCAGAATAGTTTTCAATCGGTGGGTCCAAATCTGTCATTTTCCCGCACATTAAGAAATACGCAAGGAAGCTGAACTCCGATTGAGCACCAAAATCCGAACTATCGAAACCTTGTCGTCGCACTCAAAAGTCTTTTTTCCTAACAGTTCCTTTCACGTCATTTTCCATCGGGATTTATCCTCACAGCAGTTCCATCCGGATCGGATGTCGGATATTCGAAAGCCTTGGCGAATGGGACAATTACACGGAAGCAATATTAAAAATGGAAAACCCGAAAACTTCCTATAAATTGAAAACTGAAACTCGGATCTTAAGCACACCACCGAAATGTCTATGTGAGAGAGTATCAAAGCTCTCTTTGCTTCAATCATTTCCCGAATCCCTCAAAGGTCAGGCGCGCCTCCGCCATCGCAAACACCATCTTCCTCTCCCTCTACTATCGATTTAGAATCGCAAGAAATCTTTCTCCCAACACAATGGAAACGAGTTTCTGCAGCAGTGGCGAAATGTTTGCATGACATTTTGCTTTACATCTGCACTTGAAATAGCTCTCCTGTTCGCACAAATTCAATCCCAGCTCCCTGTTTCATTTCATATTCTCTCTTTTCTTATCTTCTTATCTTTCTTTTTCTGATTGTTGCAAACATCATTGGCCCGATTTCACTACCATAAGTCAAGTGCTGGAGCTAGTTTCAGTCATTCTTGTTGCCACGACCGTTGTCTTCACCATTGCAATTCCGTTTCCTCTGAGCCTCAAGTGTTTAACCTGGGCTCTGTATGACTCTCCTTATTAATTATTTGATTTCCATATTACTTTTAATCACTTATTATTGATCCACTTTTCTCATTCAAGTTTTCTTATTGTTGTAATTGTCCTGTACCTGTCTGATGAGATGATGATACAGCATATAGTATTTCCTCTGTTTTTGTAGTTGTAATAGATATGTGTAATATTTCCTCTGTTTTCAACTCAAATTTAGTAAGATCCGAATTAAGTCGTTATTTGTTAAGTTTATAGCGGATTTGTAAGATCCAATATCCAAATCAAAGTCTCTTATATTTTTCTTCAACATCCTCGTGAAATAACTAACATTTGGAACATGTAAAATGAAAATCGTTTATGTTGATGAAAACTAAAGGGAATACCAGATTTTGTAAATTGATTTTATATTATATTTGTTACATTTTATTTTTTATGTAGCTCTTTATCATATCATATTCATATGTCATTCCTGGAGGCAGAGTCATGTAGGAAGAATATTGGAAGCGGATATCCGAGTTCGAATCAGAAATCAATAGTGAAAGTGGATTACATACAACTTCTAATGTGAAATCAATTATTAAATTGGAGGCTCAGTTGAAGAGTCTAAATAGACAATTACACTTCGGATTCGAAGTCGGATCCGTATGCTGGAGTTTAGGGACGATGTGTATCAAAAATAAATAGATGTGGTATGTGACATACAAACTGAACCTTGGATTTGGGACCCACAATTTCGTGCGAATTGGAGAAAGAAAGCAAAAAGCATACGTTGATGCGTGATTCTCACCTACCTAATCGACAGGTGTATAACGTTGATTGATCAAGGACATACGTGATTATGAGAGAATATAAGATAAATGTAATGAGAGTTTTTTAAAGTGTTCAGATTAAGGTAACAAGTCTACTGTCACTGATTTGTATTAGTATAGTGGGTCAGTCGCAATAGCGACTGACTTACAAATGATGAAAAGTAAATACAAAGTTTGCAAGAGAGAGAGAGTTCAAGTGAAAATGGCCGAATCCCCTTGATGAAGGGTTCTTCCTCTTTTGTAACAAGATGAATGCAAGTAATCATCATTAAATCCTTGGGTTGGTTTGAATGTCGGACATAATCCGGCTTTACGTCCCATTGCCCACTTCCCAAGCTGATTTCATGCGATTTGGAGCAGGGAAATAGATACTTGGAAGCTCCATAGCTTTGGCAGGCCTGACTGCGCTTACCGTTCTATAGGACAGGTCACACTTTTCACGACTTCCACGCAACCCTTGATTTCGCAGCATAACAGCATATTATAGAGTCTGATCCTGCCAAATCCGCTTTTTATATAAATATGATACCATAATATTTACTTCAATGAATTTGTTTAATGCTACAATAAGAGACTTGGGGAAAAACTAAGATGATTGAGTGAGAAGAATTCAGATTTTGGCTCAAACCAGAGTCTCAATTATCTACCATAAATAAGCAAAACTGCAGTTCTTTATTACACATGTTTATTAATTAGTTTGTACATTTCGTACGTTAATTTCGGTTGTATTCCCGAAGGATTATAATTTTATTACTTCTTTTTCACTACATTTTTTATTTTTTTTATTATTGGAATTTATGTCTTTTTGAATTTCTTAAAGTATACTGCAGTGCCTAGGCCACACCAATGTTTTGACCGAAAAGCCCTACCAACTCACCCACCGCAAAAGAAAACCGATGGACCTCAAATGGTGAGTGAGGGAAGTCAATGTGGGGTGGGTATTGAAGAGGGGAGAATCGGGGTTCGAATGGAGGTGGTTGGGTGGATTTTCGATGAATGAGGCATTGGCAAATGGCTGCACAGATGGAGGTTTGCGGAGTTGAACGCCCCCACTAGGCGCAAAAGAAGTCAATGGACGGCAATCGGTGAGTGAGGGAAGCTGATGTGGGGGTGGGTTTTGTAGAGGGGGAATGGGGGTCTAAGGGAGGTGGTTGGGTGAATTTTCGATGAGTAGGCGATGGAAAATGGCTTCAAAGATGGAGGTTGAGGGGTTGAACCCCCCACTGGGCGCAAAAGAAAGGTCAATGGACGGCAATCGATGAGTGAGGGAGCTGTATGGGGGGTGGTTTTGTAGAGGGAGAATGGGGGGTCTAATGGAGGTGGTTGGGTGAATTTTCTATGAGTAAGGCAATGGCAAATGGCTTCAAAGATGGAGGTTGAGGGTTTGAACGCCCCCACTGGCGCAAAGAAGGGTCAATGGACGGCAACCGTGAGTGAGGGAAACTAATGTGGGGGTGGGTTTTGTAGAGGGGAGAATGGGGGTCTTGTAGGTGGTTGGGTGAATTTCCGAGAGTGAGGTGATCGAAAATGGTTGCAAAGATGAGGCTTACGGGGTTGAACACCCCCACTGGGCGCAAAAGAAAGGTCAATGACGGCAATCAGTGAGTGGGGAAGCTGTATGGGGGTGGGTTTTGTAGAGGGGAGAATGGGGGGTCTAATGGAGGTGGTTGGATGAATTTTCGATGAGTGAGGCAATTGGAAATGGCTGCAAAGATGGCGGCTTCGGGGTTGAACGCTCCCCTAGGCGCAAGAGAAAGGTCATAGACGGCAATCGTGGAGTGAGAGAAGCTGATGTGAGGGTGGGTTTTGTAAGGGGAGAAATGGGGGGTCTAATGGAGGTGGTTGGGTGAATTTTCGATGAGTGAGGCGATCAGAAAATGGCTGCAAAGATGGAGGCTTGCGGGGTTGAACACCTCCACTGGACGCAAAAGAAAGGTCAATGAACGGCAATCGGTGAGTGAGAGAAGCTGATGTGGGGGTGGGCTTTGTAGAGGGGAGAATGGGGGGTCTAATGGAGGTGGTTGGGTGAATTTTCGATGAGTGAGGCGATCGGAAAGTGGCTGCAAAAATGGAGGCTTGCGGGGTTGAACGCTCCCACTAGGCACAAAAGAAAGGCCAGTGGACAGCAACCGATGAGTGAGGGAAGCTGATGTGGGGGTGGGTCTTGAAGAGGGGAGAATGGGGGGTCAAATGGAGGTGGTTGAGTGAATTTTCGATGAGCGAAGCGGTCGGAAAGTGGCTGCGAAGTTGGAGGCTTGTGGAGTTGAACGCTTCCACTAGGCACAAAAGAAAGGTCAATGGATGGCAATCAGTGGGTGAGGGAAGCTGATGTGGGGGTGGGTTTTTAAGAGAAGAGAATGAGGGGTCGAATCGAGGTGGTTGGGTGAATTTTCGATGAGTGAGACGATTGGAAAATGGCTACGAAGATGGAGGTTTGCGATGGCTAGGAAGATGGAGGTTTGCGACGACGAACACTCCCACTAGGCGCAAAAGGCAGGCCGATGCAGGAATTTCAATGCAACTGATATTACCTTCTTAAAATCAGAATTTTAATCCGATAGAATTTAAATCAATTAATAAAGAAGTGGGGCCATCAGTCATATTACCGAACTTATTTGTTTGCATTCTTTTCATTTGTGAAATAAAGTCCACTCGGATTTTCGGATACCCGTTAGAAATGCAAGTTTCAATCATTTAACAAATCAATGGGAAGTTGAACAAAGACGCCATAGAACATATCCGAGTCCGACACTGTCCAATTTTTTCTTTTCCATAGGTCAATATTTGTTGATGAATTGCAATGTTTCTTTGTCAACTACACAGAAACAGGGAAAGCCAACTATCGGACTCGGATCGAATATCGGACCACTCTAATTGTCCTCACTTTTTGTTTTCAATATTTCATTATATTTAATTAGTTTTTTTATTCACCCGCGTGTGCCAACTTCTTAGAAGCAGAGGAAAGGCAATTTATCTTCTGCCG